ACTTTACAGAGGAAAAAACAAAAACTTAAAGCAGCTGTTGACTTGCTCAAGCTGATACTAGGCAGGGACAAGCCTGGAGCCAAGTTGGTCAAGCTTTCTCCTTCAAATGCCATCCACTCTGCCCTCTCAGCAATAGACAGAAGCTCCAAGACTTAGGAGAACTGGGAGCAAAGGGCCATTCACAAGCACCCTCCAGGCTCAAAGCTTAGTTTGGCCAAGATGAGGACAGAGCAAGCTGGTAATTAACACAAGGAGTTAAAGGACTGATGGCATTTCTGAGGGGGTGTAGAGTGAGCCAACATAGAGGTGAGTATGCTGGACCTGAAAGGGGTCAGCATAGACGGCTTCCGAGGTCAAGGACAAATGGAAGAGGGAAATTGAGGCTCAGGGACCTGGCTGATGTGGTAATATTTCCACACTAGCTGAGGAAGCCACTCTTACTTATCTGTATTTTCAGGTCCGAGCAGAAATCATCACGACGTTTGCACTCTGTGGATTTGCCAACTTCCGCAACGTTGGAATCATTTTGGGAGGCCTGAGTGAGTCCTAGATGGGAGTCTCCCCAGCCCCCTGGAGGTCAGGGACCTGGACTTCAGTCCTGGCTCTGAAATAACTTGCTGGGGTCTTCTAACTTCAGTTGTCCCTTATGTGTAAGGAAGAGGCTGAGCACTATGACCCTGGAGGCTTTTCCCATTCTAGAATTCCAGGAATTCTCTGCTGCTGAGGGTAGCCCAAGAGGTTAGCATCTGAGTCTGACTCAGAGGCCTGGGGAGGGATGGGGAGGGTGGTACTGGTTTGGCCCCTTGAGACGTTGGCCTGTCAAGTCCCACATCCACAGTGAACAGACAAGTAGGCCTGACAGACCCTGGGAAGGAAGGAAGGAAGGCTTGCACAATGCCCCATGTCTTCACAAATAGCATTTCCAGTCCTTGCCAGCGCTTTATGTGGTGGGATGATCTTCCCATTTTACAGAGAAGGAAACTGAGTCTTGGAAAGGTGAAGGGATGTCCCCAGCCACTCAGATAGTAAAGTAGCTGAACATGAATTTAACCTCAGGTCTGCCTGACTTCCAACTCATGTTGTTTCTCCCACATCTGCCACCTACACTATGTGAGGAGGACTAGGCATCTGAGCCAGACTAAGAAGGGCTCCTGAACTCAGTAACCCAGAGGGAAAATTGAGGACAACACCCAGGAGAGGAAAGGGGCTAGGGGCCAGAGGACACAGCCAGATTCCTAGAGAGTAGGTCGAGAGGCACATGGCATCCCTGGCCCTGAGCTCTCCTGTTGCCTGCAGTCTCCATGGTCCCTGAGCGGAAGGGTGATTTCTCCCAGATCAAGTTCCAGGCCCTCTTCACCGGAGCCTGTGTGTCCCTGGTGAATGCCTGTGTGGCAGGTGAGTGCAGGCCTAGTTCCGGGTCCTGATGTCCCTGGAAGTGGGTGGAAGGATAGGCCCTAAACTCCATTTGCTATGTCTTCACAGGGATTCTCTACGTACCCAGGGGGGCTGAGGTGGACTGTGTGTCCCTTCTGAACACCACTCTCAGTAGCACTAGCTTCGAAGTGTACCAGTGCTGCCGTGACCTCTTCCAGAGGTGAGGGCCAGGGCCATGGGGGGCCACCCATTGGGACAGGTGCAGAAGGCCTGTGTGCCTGGATGATGACTTTGGCACCAGGGCAAAGGAAGAAACTGATTATACTCTGCTGCCACCAGGGAGGAGGAAGTGAAGGCTTGTGAACCAAACTTGGGGAGGAAGGGATGGACCAGAAACAGGGCGCAACCTTCCAGGGTTGCATAGTGTGTTCCTCCTGGCAGCCTGTGCTTTCTTTTCAGCACCAGCTCCAATTCCAGTGCCGAGGCTCTGAGGAACTGCTGCCAATTTTACAACCATGCAATCTGTGCGTAGTAGGGGAAGAGCAGCTGTCCCCAGCTTCCCAGAGTCACAAGTCTCAGACCCACCTCAGACACAGACGGGGAGATGGAGTGAATGACTGGAGAGTGAGTGGATTTACAAGGAACTCCTCCCCAACTCCTGGACATTCTGCTCCCCCATTTTCTACCTCCCCAAATGTGAATTCTCAGGGTCACCTCCACCTCCACCTCTCAGTGTGGGGCCCTATCCCGAACCTCTTCTTCCCTTCACCCCCGACCTTTCGGCCACTTTCTCCACATCATCTGACCTCCCTCCCTGGACTCCAGGGTCTCTGATTTACCCCGATGGGTTGTTCCTCCTGGAGAATCCTCCCTCGACTCTCAGAGCCTCTCTCACTGACTCCCTCACAACACTTTCCATACCGGTGTCCTGTGGAACATTTCCGCCATGTTCAGACAGTTCCACAATCAAATAAGTTTGGAAAGTGCAGAGTTAAGTAAAGGTAGGCAGCTTTCTTTACTGTGAATTTGCCCAAGCTTGATGTGAATATGATAGAAGGTGTTATCTAAATGTGCTTGGCCTTAAGAACTTTTTTTTATGAAAGCATCTCTTATTTGAGACTTCCATGGAATACAATTTGTGCGATATTGGTAAGTGTTCAAACTGCTTTCTTTCACATAACTGTAACACCAGCAGATGTTTATACAGCACTATGGGGTCCTGGTGTGGCGCTGTGGGTTAATGCACTAGACTGCAAAGCCATTTGAACTGCAAGGTAGGTGGTTCAAGCTCACCAGCTGCTCCTCGGAAAACCTATACAGGGTCGCTATGGGTCAGAACCGACTC